ATACTACTACTCTAATCTCCTAATAAATCGTACAGTTTTACCACTCAAAAAGCAAATGAGGCATCTTTAGAAAGCTCAAAGGAATTTATCTTGACCTTAGTACCTTGAGCACTGCCTCGTTTCTTCAAGCAGTTTTACACCTTAATTACTAGCTACCTCTTCATTTCCTACAACTTCAATAGTTTAAGACTCTATCCTAAAACATGGCAGATGTGTCCCAACATTCTTCATGGCTTTATTAACAAGATCTTCATTTTTGATTTCTGATTCCATTCATTTGAAAGGAGTACATCGTAAAGGATCTCAAATATAATTTTATATTCACAATGTTTTACAGAGTTCAAAAATCAAGGCTGTGAAAAAACGTTTTCAAGTTGGAACAGAGACATAAAGTTGTAAATTTACCATTACTCTAAAGAGAAAATCATGCCCACTTTGAAAATGACAATTGCTGGGAATAGGATAGCAAAGTTAAACAAATGGGGAGTAAAGGACACACACAGATGTAAAAAAAGAGGAAATAGAAAGCGAGAGGCAGAAACATGTTCTACCACATGGCAAAAGTGAAATATATTTTGAAGGTGGAAAAGGTAAAATGAACAATGACTTGACTACACATAACGCCTCCCAGAAAACAAACAGAACCACAAAAAGGGCACCAAAATATACATTAGTACCTACACCCTGTTGGAAAGCTCAAAAATTAAAATAAGTGACTGGAGGAAATCATTTGTAAAGGGACAGAGAAGAGGTTCTAGAGGTCAGCAATTGCATTTCAACCCCACTCCATCTTTTCATATAAAAAAGAACTGTTCCTTTCCTGACCACTCACCAAATTTTCACACAATATAAATAAAAGAGAGAGAAAATGTGATGCCTTGGCTTTCCCAAAATGAAAATAGCAAATTAAAGGCATACGTAATATTGGTAAAGATAATTATCCAACTAGTAATTTATAGACTTATGGTAAGAAAATATCTCAGAATGTTAGTTTATATGAAGATATAAAAATGTACATACATGCATATTTAAGGTAAACTACCGTAAAGTCAATAGTACCTGTGCAAACCTTCAGTAGCAAGACCACTGTTTGCCTCTAGAGGGCGAACTTGGTCTTCTGGAAAAACTAGACAAGAGAAGTTACTTTCGGACTTTACCAAAAAAAGAGATAAGGCCGGGAGCGGTGGCTCACGCCTGTAATCCTAGCACTCTGGGAGGCCGAGGCGGGTGGATTTCTCAAGGTCAGGAGTTCGAGACCAGCCTGAACAAGAGCGAGACCCCGTCTCTACTAAAAAATAGAAAGAAATGATCTGGACAACTAAAAATATA